GAGAAAGCAGCGGCTCCCGATCATAAGAAACCTATGACATAGCAAACCAGGAAGATTATCAGAACACAACATTTGGTTACCTGAAGAAAGCGAGAGAAAATACGATCTGACCGGATTTCGAAAGTTTTTCGAGGAGTTTTATGAGGCCTGTGAAAGACTTGAGATGGGAATCTTACGAGCGATTTCGATCGGTTTGATGGGCATTGAAGAGGCAGATTACTTATCGAAATTCCATCAAGAATCGAACAACCAGATCAGATTAGCCCACTATCCACCGATCGAAGCCACTCAATTAATCGAAGGAGTCAGGGAACGATTCGGCGCACACACCGATTTCGGATCGATTACGATCTTATTCCAAGACCAAGTGGGCGGCCTTCAAGTCGAGAATCCCAATGCACCCGGCCACTTTTTGCAAGTCAAACCGATCGAAGAAACCGTGGTCGTGAATATTGCGGATCTCCTGATGCGATGGTCCAATGATACCCTGCGCTCAACTTTGCATCGGGTCGGCCCTCCCGATGTCACCGGCCTCATCCCCTCCCGTTACTCCATCCCGTACTTCTGTGGCCCGGATCCCGAGGCCTTGATCAAATGCCTCCCAGGCTCCACTTCAGAACCAAAGTACGAACCAATTTACGCCGACGAATACATCAAAATGCGTATGAAATCATCTTACTGAATTGGATCTCTCGCTTGCAATCGTCATGTATAGACAAAATTATTTTTCTCTTTACTCGTCCGACACAAAAACAGAAGGTGATCATGAAAAAAGAAAATGTGCAAGTTTGGAACAGAAGCTAATCATGTACTTATCAAAAAGACAATTGCCAATTGGTAAGAAATCTGTTGTAAAACTATCAGCTAAGTTATTCACAATTTATGGTATGATTTTTTTCCTTATGTGAGCAGATCATGAATGGAAATCAAATACTCAATCTATGTAGGATGGATAAGTTAGAGAGCTTGAACCATCAGCCTGATCTCAATTGAGGAAGTTAGACTGAACTAATGGTTTGATCAAACACCAAAAATAAATGATGGCAGCTGTATGCCTTGTTTTCTTTTTTTTTGTTATATATGCAACTTGGAATGAAGTAAAAAAAATGCATTTCAGGGATAAAAATTAGCTGTCTAGTGCATTACCCAACTCCAACTTTGGTGCTAATTTTGGTAAATTTTGTTGCCCATGCAACCTTTTTTTTTGCAAAGTTGAAGTGTGTGATTTTTCCTCTAACAGGGAGTTACCCTGCAAGCTTTAAGGTTTTTTCCTGGCATGTCAGCAGAGGATGATTTCAGTGAGATTGACCATCAGCAGTACATCAGCTGCCCTGTTACTTTTTAATAGCCTGGTTGAATGGGCAAATAGAGGAGGGGAGCTTGCTTATTGATGTGGGTGGAGGACCTTTCTTTTTGAAAATTATGTTTGAGTCTTTCTCATGCTGGATTTTAAAATGTATATGAAATGGTTCTCTATAATCTTCCTGATGGATGCTCTATGTGAGCCTCCCCCCACCAACACATACTTAACTAAGTCCTGCTTTGGAGCCTATGAGGTGTACATCTGTGTGTATTACTACTAGCTGAAAGCATCAGATGCTAATAATTATTAGTTTGACAGAGATGATACATGTATCCAAGTAATGCTGCAACAAATACTATACACAGTTTATATCATGGGGAATTGTACCAACATATATGGCTAAAGGACACATGTATTGTACAACAATGTCCATAGAATCACATTGGTCAAAAAATTTTTTACACCAAGCCAGTGATACATGGCATGATACGTGCCAATACATTGTAAATACTGTATTTGTGGCAGCGTTGATCCAAGGCCACCATAAATTACATTTCCAATCTTCTACTAGGTGACAGTTCTGGTGAGTCTGCTATGGCATAAACACTCCTGAAACTCAGATCAATAAACTGATTCAGCATGATCCAATAGACCCCCCCCCCCAATTTGATCACTGATCAAAATAAGAGTATTGATCACTCAATAAAGTAAGATTAAGCAAAACTACTAACTCAGAGTAGAAGACAGCTAATTTAGCCACCAGTCTTCTTTATTCTATATATCACTTAGCTCCTGTACTTCTCTCTTGTTTTATCAATCCCTTCTCTCAGGAAACTATTTTCTATCATCTATTCTTCCATGAAAACTCAAAGACAAAAGTCTTGCTTGCTTCTTATAAGTACATAACAGTCTCTCCCAGTCTCAAATTGGGTCAAGTATTTCTTTTAAATAAAATTTGTCTAGCAAAGAAATGGAATCTTCCACACCATGAAAGTTGGGATGTCATTTGCTAGCAAGTGACATCAAGGAGGATTTGAGGGAGCCTTTGTGAGGCTTGGGTGAACCCCTCCTTTGTAAGTCTCTCCTGGTACAATATGCATGTGTGTTACGTAAGCTTCAAGTGTAGTATGAACCAAGTTACACATGTAGCATCTTGATGTCACTTGTCAGCAAGAGGTACAACTTGTTTTGTGGTGCCAGTTGCGTAAAATCTCTTGATTTTGTTGTTTTAAAGAAGCAGAAACAAAAAAAAAGAAGTCCATCACTCTAATTTTCAATAGAATACCAAGTGGCCAGGAGAAAATAGGAGATGATTTTTGCATTTTGAAACATTTCATCACTTCCAAGGGGTCCAAATTGGGACAGATATTCAATCAATTTGACTTGAATTTTTCCGAATGAATTGATGAGATTTAGTTGATCTGGTTGATCCCAAGGGGTCAGAAACCTGTTGGTCTGATGGATCCCGAGGACTGGAATACTGTCTTTTGGACTGAAAATCTGCTCAAGAACCCATCTCAAGAATCTTTCTCTGACTCTTTTGTGTTCCTCTCCTGGAGTTGTTGATCTTTCTAATAGTTCAAGGTGGATTTGATCTGCTGTAAAAATCAATCTCCTCACATTTGTATATAACACTTGTTCTGTAAGACACTTCTTTTCCTGGGATTGTAGAAGCCTTATGGGTTCGATTCCTGGATTCTCTCCAGAAAAACACACAGCTATTGGTAACCTTGGATGATAGATTTTATGAATCATTCTGCTGGTATTGCTTCCAATTTTCTCTTCTATGATTCTACATTGTTTTGAGAAAGATTCCAAACTTGATGTTATGGGTGCATACCTTTCATGCTTTGGAATCTTTTGGTGACATGGAATTATTGGTTCTATTGCAAGTTTTGATAGATGGGAGAACATTTGATTGAACACTTCATTGCCTTTAACTTCTTCTGATTCTTTACCAAACTTATTTGAAGTCTTAATTTTGATGGCATCTAAATCTATCATTCCCCATTGATGCAAAAAATACCAAAAAAAAAGAAGTTCAAATGAGCTGTGATTAGTATGAAAGACAAGCACTTTTAAATGTTCTTGAACAAGTCAAGAAGACCCACTTTCTTTATTGGCTAAGTAAGTTTCAACAAGATAGGCAGCAGTTACTTTTGCCAGTTCAGTGTTGTCCTTGTTGGTGGAAAAGAAATTGATCAAATGTATTTGAGTCAGGCCCAGAGAGCCGTCAGAGAAGTCCTTTTCCCAAGTCGGACATGGCGGTCGAATGAATTGGAAGATACGAATATGTTTATTGTCAGTGTTACTTGTAGTACGGGATGGGAAGATTTGCTCCCGCAGCCATCCCAAGAATCTTCTTTGGTGAATTCTGTACGCAAAGATAGGTGCGTCGAAATGGTTTAAAGTCTGTTCGAGGAACTCGTAGGTCCATGAAATCAACATTCTAAAAAGGAAGCACAACACCCGTCTTTGTTGAGTCTTGGTCCCCCGACTTGATTCGCTTAGAACCCTTGTTAACCAGGTTGAATCTGAAACAAGACCCGTCAATCCAAATGGTAAGCTGGGGTGCTTGATAAGCGTTGAAAGTCGACTCAAGGTCTTAGAGTACACTTTCAACGCCTTGTCAAAATCCGAGCTAAATTCTTGCAGAAGCGGCTCTGAAAGGGTGCCGACTGATGTGCAGCAACCCGGATGTTCTATGTCTGATTTGAATCGCAGTGGGTGGTTTGGGATTTCTTCTGGATTATTGGTAAAGATATCAGGATTGAGTTGACCCAATGCCTGTTCCGAGTTCAACTCTCTGCTAATCTGGGCCTCATTATATTCCTGACTGACTGCCAAGCTTGGGCCAACCAGCTCTATTATTGAATTTTGGTTAGTCTTCTTCAGATTCATCAAACAAATAATACAATCCCTGCTGATGAAAACTCACCGCCAGAAAAAGCTCTTTCAACATCTGATGGAACGACGGGAGGGGTTGAGGTTGGAGTGGGGATCGAAGGTTGTTCATGGTTTAAAGTTGGATTGAAGATGGAAGGTTGTGTATGACTGTATTTGCGTTTCCTCTGCATCTTTTCCGGGATTCGTGAGCTTTCATCATGGGTTGGAGTCAAGCTTTGAGTCGATCCATGGAAGCAAGACAAGCGATTCTTCAGTTGTGATGTTGTCGCTTCCCATTCCTCTTCCAACTGCTCCCCTGTTAAGCTTGGGACTGGGAGAGTTCATCAACGCAACCATGAGATGATGATCATTGGGAGATGGGCTTGCCGTAGCTGAGAACTGCTGCAAAAGGTTGACATCTGCGTTTCCAGGGGTTTGTGGCAGCATGAGTGATGAAAGAACCACCAGATGAAAACACAGAGAAGGAACAGGGTACGGAAATCTTATCGACAATCATTGAAGTAAACGATGATATCTTGCGGGAATCATCCAAAGATGAGGGAGACTGCGAAGATCTCAAGACTCAACATGCAAAGGTAAAAGCCAGAGACACCCAGTCCTCACATCTTATGTTTGATCCCCCTCGATGAGACTTTGTGTTGTATCCTGTTTGGATCGTTAATTATCTGGCCAAACGCTATTACTGTATGAATACTTATTTCAATGGGTTTGATGTTTCTTGTCTTTTTTGGGGAGGCTTGTATTAAGCTAGCACACTCCGAGAACCTAGGGGGTGTGACGTGTACATATTTACATGTCGTGTTGGATATTTAAGGGACTCATGGAGGATGAATTGGCAAAGAATAAAATACAAGAATCGGTCATCCACAAGCAATAATATTAAGCACCATCTCCCTACATAACAATTTTTATCGAAACACATGTTGATAATTAGAACTATAAATAAAAACAAAAGGTAAGAGTATAAAAACGGTTTATGGTTTTGATTGGAAGATAATTAAAATCCGAATTGAAGTTGAGCTCGAGAGAATACTGGAGGCTTCCAAATCAATTGATTGGGTTGGATCCGTCGCCGATTCTTCTTGTTTGTTTTTTCATACCTTTCGATGATCGCATCTGATAAACAAATTATATGTTGTTTATTTCGACTAAGTAGGGTTTTTTTTTTTTTTTTTGGTTAAAAAGGAAGAAAAGATCCAAGAAAAAAAATCAGTCAATAAAAATTTAAATCTGCATATCCAAGACAAAGGAAGGACGGGGAAGAAAGAAAAAGAATTGAGGAGGAGACCAACTATTTCAAGAGTTGTAATGTTTGACAGACATGCATCACATCACTATGAAACGATTGCCGTCTTCTGAGCGATCTCATCGATACTAACGCCCTCGTTTTTCTGATGACAATCGAGGATGAAGCCGACGATAGTTTCTTCCCAATAGGCGCGATAGGACAAGAGACCGAGATCGCTGAGCGGTTTCTCAGGGGAGCCCAATTTGCCCTCCTTCTTGGACAACTCATAGCTGAATTCGATCAACAGTTTCCCAAACCCAAGTCGTTGATATTGCGGCAGAGTCAGGATACATGCCACGTTGTAGTTCTCGGCCGATTCTTTCTCCTTGGAGAAATAGCCGATCAAGTGCAGTCCATTCGAATCTCTTTGACACATCACATAGTATAGGAATGGGTCTACATCGTAATAGAGCGTCTTGTGGTCCAGGAAACATTTGCTCAAGAGCGACAGATTTCGACACCAGGTTTTCTGTCTGCGTCCGTCGATTTCGAAGAAATGGATCTCTTCTGCCCGATAAATCTCGTTGCCCGGCGGATGCAAGAGCGTGCATTTCATGCGATGTCGATGGATCTGTGCTTCCGAGCCATAGAACGACAGACAGAATTCGCATATGTACAGGATCGGGATGTGGGCGAATTCGATGGGATAGGGCGAGAAGTACCAGGCTTCGACCTCGTGCTTGCCGATTTGGATTCGGTCCAAATTCTTGACTCGCGATATTTCATGATGCGATTGGGTCATACTACCCGATGTTCTTAGCTTTTCGATCTCATCTTCCTTGGAAAATTGATTCTGTGTCCGATCTGAATCCACATCCTCGTCCTCGTCCTCATCTTCTTCGTCCTCATCCTCCTCCTCCTCTTCTTGATCATGCTCTTCTTGCTCCGGATCTTCATCATCTTCGTCATCTTCGTCTTCACTAGCCATGCTCTCCGAGTCTCCTAGTTTAGTCTGAGACGATGATTCTTCTTCTCCATTGGCCTCTGAGCCCCGCTTAGCCTTTTTCTGCTTGTTCTTGGGTGTCTGGTCGAGCCGATGAGACTGCTTCTTCTTGGTCAACTTCTGCGCGTTCTTCAAGGCCACCTTCCGAAGCTTAGAGCTCTCGCGTTTATGGACCACCGATGATTTCCGTGCCTGTTTTCCCGATTGCTTGGGTGAGGTGGCTGTACTATTGGCAGAGGTGGATGGGGTTGGATTGACGACGGGCCACTCGATGGATTGGTCCAAATGGACTCGCGACCCGACAACCCATTCGTCCAATCGTTTGTTGTAACCTATCCAATGCAAACTGAAATCAATATCCCGATGTGGCTCAGTGACGGTGATTCTTTAGAAAGAAGTGATTGAGGAGGCCGGATGAAAAGTACCACATGTGGAAACACTAATTTAAGCAATCTAGAGTGTGAGGATTGAAGGGCAAAACAAAAAAAAAAGTAGAAAGGAATGTGGGGTTTGACTGAACTAGAACTCCAAGCTTTCCGCCGCTTCCTTCTCTAGACCATCTGAGTTAGGTTCCTCATCCTTGATGACTGGTTTTGCGAATCGAGAGCGTCGTTGGATGCTAGCGGGTCGAATGCCGAGCACTTCGGCTTTGATCGGTCCGGGCTCATCCAACCGTTTGGCAAACACCTTGCATCCCGTGATGATCGCCGAGAGCGCGACTGTGTTGGGTGGACTGATCAGGGGTGCTGGTTTGGGCTCCGTAGAAAGTGCTATGTATGAACAAATCACAACATCAGTTTCTCTTCATCCTCGAATTTCCTCTACACACAGAACTCTCATCTTGACTCACGCGAATGACTTGTTCCACCCATCGCTAAGGTTTTGTGTGTGGATTGTTTGAGGCTGCATAAATCCAAAAATATTTACATAGACGGGCTCAAACCTTCTTGACCACGGGGTCGGGTTTTGAGACAGACCGGGTACGCCCCGGGGAATCTTTTGTCTCGCCGATTCCAATTAAGGCTGATTTCGACATCCGCACAAGTCATAGCGGAAGACAGCTTTTCTTTTGTTGTTGGCTATGAGTGCAAGATTATGTTTCCAACCTCAAATACCATGTTCCTGTCCAACAAAACAGTTATTTTTCGTTTGCATTTGTTTTTGTTTTTTTTGGAGAAGGAATGAAATATACAAACATCAAAGATTTTATGCAGAGAGAAGAACAAACCAGACAAGTTATACATATTCAATCAATAAAATATCGCAAAGAAAAAGGATAACAAGAGACAGATGATTTTTTATTTATTTTTTCGTTGATGGTAGCTGATGATTGGAAGGAAGTGATCAAGAGAAAGAAAAAAAACAGTATGTATGGGGTTGGACTTTAGTGTGTAGATGAAATAGAGACGGTGTTTGTAAACGAGTGACTTTGGTAGGGTAACGTGAAGGCAGAGAGACAGAGGAAATTTCAACAGAAAAGCTAAAAAAAATCAAGGGAGGAAAAGAACTAATGATAATGTGATCAACAGAAATTCGGGGGGGAAAAGTCCAGGAATTTTAATGTCTGATATAGATATGATTAATTAACGATTTCGATTTGTTTGTCTTTTCTGGGAGAGATGCAATGGTATATATATATTTTTTTGTTCTTGTTTGTTTTTATGTGACTAAACGATCATTCCATCCATCCAACCAACCCGCATTGATTTTTTGAAAAACCCGCCCAAAGAAAAGAGAAAAAAAGAGAGAGAGAAAGAAAGAAAGAAAGAAAGAACATGAATTGCTAGCGACCACCGCCATCACCAGATCTCTGCTTCGGCCAGTCACTCAACAACCCACTCCACACTTCCGCACAATCACTCACTCCTCCACTCCACTTCTAATTAATCAAACGAAGAAGAAAAAATGCAAAAGAAAATGGAGCCCAAGTATTCAAGAAAAAAAAGAAGATAAGAGGAGAAAAGGGATAAGGCAGGAGATATAGAAAAAAAAAATGAGGAGGAGAGAGAAGGGTTGTAAGAGAGATTGATGGCTGTGTGTGTGTGTGTTTAGGTGGGATTAGTTTGGTACTTGGAGACGGTACTCCACAGCATACTACAAAACACCAAAAAAAAAAAAAAACCAAATCAATTACTTCGCAGAAAGGAAGAGAGAGAAACTTGAAGAGAGAGAGAGAGAAGAGAGAAGAGACGAGACGAACTTAGTGCCGAAATCTTTCCACCGGAGAAGCAGATCGATATGATTACGAATCTGTACGATGAATCCCTCTTTGCCGGCGGCGACGGCATTGAAGTCGATAAGCTGGGCGAGACTGGCGGGCTGGATTCTGATCGAAGAAGCCGAATGACCGAGCGCAGCAGAGGAGGAATTGAAAGCCGTTGGCAGGGGAGGAGAGGGGGAGGAGAGGAGGAGAGAATAGGCGAGATGGTCTGAGTTGGACCGTTTGAGCCCTTCGATTATGCATGATGAAGAGGATGATGAGGCGGATGGGGAGGTGGCGTTGAGGAGGGTTCCTGAGGGACATGTGAAGCTCGACGGGCCCCGGAAGATCAGGTTGCCGAGCACGTATCCGGTGGCCAGGAACATGACCAAGGACGAGCATATTCGGAGCCGGCGTCTTAATACGTCCTCCCTCTCAAGCCCTGCTCTCTTCTCCCCCTCCGTCCCGTCCTCCGCCTCCGACGCTCGATCACGCATACCAAGTGAGGATAACAGGCCGTCTAACGAGAGCAGCTCGACGGCCGAAAGACCCCAGCGACTCCAGTAACTCGTCCCTTCTGGAGAGCCGCCTCTCATAAAGGGCTTGGCTTCGGCGTCCGGCTCGGCCGTCGGACTCGGCTCAGCCTCGCTTAGACTAGAGGATGCCGTCGAAGAACCCGAGTCGTCCCGATGGTCCTCCTCGGAGGGGCCTTGTTGAGCAGGCTCAGTCATTTCTCGCTTGATATGATCGATTGCGAGCTTCAAGACATGGGGATCAATCCCAGCGACCAGCTTCAAGAGCGGGTCCTCCTCCTCTTCTTCCGTTTCCTCCGCCTCTTCTTCTTGTTCTGTGGATTCTGATTCGGATGGAGTGGGCTCGGTTTGGGACTTGCAAATCTTCCATCTTGGGGCGGTAGACCGGCGGCGGCTCCGGGATCGGATCCGTCTGGGTGTCCGCCGTCTTGAACGTCGTCAAGTCTGCCTGTGTCCGTCGACGCATCCTGGAGCTCGATCTCTCTTTCATCATCACCGTCGAGGCATGGGGCCTCATCTCGGATCCCTGATCATCAATG